AAAAATCTGAATTTTAAAAAAATTTAAAATAAAAAAACGAAATACTGGAGAATCGAAAAATTGAAAAATCCCAAAACTGAAAAAATTGAAAAACCATGAAATCGAGAAATCGAAAAATCTAAAATTTAAAAAATCGTAAAATTAAAATATCGATAAATTTAAAATTGAGAAATCGAAAAATCGAAAGGTTGAAAAATCGAAAAATCAAAAGATGGAAGAAAATTTTAAGAATGGTGAAATTGAAAAGTCCCAAAACTGAAAATCAGACAGTTGGGTAATCGAAAATTTGAGAAATTGAAAAATTGAAAAAACGAGAAAATTAAAAAAATGAAAAGTCGAAGTATTGAAAAACTCCGAAACTGAAATTTCGAAATCGATAAATCCAAAAATGAAAGAAAAATTGAAAAATCGAAAAATCGGAGGAAAATTGGGGAATCAAAAAAGCGAAAAATTCCAAAACTGAAACATCAAAAAACTGAGAAACTAAAATGGGAAAAGTCGAAAAATCGTGAAATCAAGAAAGGGAAAAATTGAAGTCCCAAAACTGAAATGTCGAAAAAATCGGAAAATCAAAAAATTTAAAGCCGAGATATCAAAAAATCGAAATATCGCAAAATCAAAATATTAAAAAATTTAAAAATTTAAGCATTCGAAAAGTTGAAAAATCGAAAAATCGAAAAATCTAAAATTCAAAATATCGAAAAATCAAAAAAAGGAAAAAAATAGAATGGTAAATTTGAAATTTAAAAATTCAAAAATCGAGATATCGAAAAATTGAAAAACCGAAACATTTAAAAATCAACATACTGAAAAACTCCAAAACTGAAATGTCGAAAACTGACAAATCCAAAAATTAAAGAAAATTTGAAAAATTGAAAAATCGGAGTCAAAAAACCGAAAAATTCCAAAACTGAAACATCAAAAAACCTGAAAATTTGAAAAATGGAAGAATTGAAAAATCGAAAACTCGAAAGATCGAGCAATTGAACCTCAAAAAGTCGAAAAATGAAAAATTTTAAAAACTCAAAAATCCAAAAATCGAGATATCGACAAACCAAAAAATCTAAAATTTAAAATCACTGGTAAAACATCGAGAAATCGAAAAATCCAGAAATTGAAAGTTTCCCAGAATGAAATCAAAGGAAAAATCGAGAAATTGAAAAACCGAAAAACTGATAATGTATCAAAAACAGAAAAAATCGGGAAATGGAAATATCGAAACATTGAAAAATTGAAAAATGCAAAATTTAAAAATGAAACAAGGGAAAACCGAAAAGTTGTAAAACCAAAAAACGATAAATAAAAAAATCTGAATTAAAAAAAAAAACGAAAACATGAAAAATCGAACAATTGAAGAATCGAAAAATTCAAAAATAGAGAATTTGAAAAATCCTAAAAATGTAACTTCGAAAAATCTAAAGCCGAGATATCAAAAAATCAAAAGATTGCGAAATCAAAACGTAAAAGAATTGAAAAATTTAAGGATTCGAAAAATTGAAAAATCGAAAAATTAAGAAATCCAGAATTCGAAAAATCTAAAATTTAAAAAATCGAAAAATTAAAATATCCATAAATTGAAGAATCGAAAAATTAAAAAATTGAGAAATCGAAAAATCGAAAAGTTGAAAAATTGGAAAATCAAAAAATGGAAGAAAAATTTAAGAACCGTAAAATTGAAAAATCCCAAAACTGAAAAATCAAAAAGTTGAGAAATCGAAAATTTGAGAAAATGAAAAATCCAAAAAAACGGAAAATCGAAAGTTGAAAAATCGAAATATCGAAAATTGATAAATCCAAAACTCAAAGAAAAATTGAAAAATCGAAAAATTGGAGAATCAACAAACCGAAAAATTCCAAAACTGAAACATCTAAAAACTGAGAAACCAAAATGTGAAACATCGAAATATTGAAAACTCAAAAAAAAACCTGCAAAATTGAAAAATGGAAGAACTGAAAAACTGAAAAATCAAAACAACGAAAAATAGTGAAATCAGGAAAGGGGAAAATATAAAATTCGAAACATCATGTTATTCGAAATATGATGTCATCAATTTTTTGGGGGAAATAAACAGATTTATTGTGATTAACAATTTACCATGCTTACAATGACTTTAAAACGTCTGCAAGATTTCAAAATATTCAGTTTTGCAATTCTTGTTTTGATCGATAAAATAAATTGACTCAGTCATCAATTTTTTTCTGACACCCCGTATAAGCAAATCTAAAAAATATTAATTCAGTGATAAACCACCAGTATAGACACATCATTCTTTACACATTTCAGATAGCACATTTTTTTCAGCAAAATTTTGGGGTGACGTCATCAATTTTTTAGGGGGGATGAGCAAATACATTTTGATCAAAAATTTTTCATGCCTATTATAACTTCACAACATCTCCAAGCGTTTTACCATCTACATGATATACCTAATATAAATACAAAATTTGACAACAATTGGCCCAGTACTCAATCAAAAGATGGAAGAAAATTTTAAGAATGGTGAAATTGAAAGTCCCAAAACTGAAAATCAGACAGTTGAGTAATCGAAAATTTGAGAAAATGAAAAATTGAAAAAACGAGAAAATTAAAAAAAATGAAAAGTCGAAGTATTGAAAAACCCCAACACTGAAATTTCGAAATCGATAAATCCAAAAATCAAAGAAAAATTGAAAAATCGAAAAATCGGAGGAAAATTGGGGAATCAAAAAAGCGAAAAATTCCAAAACTGAAACATCAAAAAACTGAGAAACTAAAATGGGAAAAGTCGAAAAATCGTGAAATCGAGAAAGGGAAAAATATAAAATTCGAAAAATCGAAACATGGAGCAATTGAACATCAAAAAGTCGAAAAGTCAAACATTTTAAAAATACAAAAATCCGAAAATTCAACAATTGAGAATTCGACAAACCAAATAATCTAAAATTTAAAACGTTGAGAAATTGAATAACCATAAAACAGGGAATCGAAAAATCTAAAACTTAATAAACAAAAAAAATTGAAAAATAGAAAAATTGAAGTCCCAAAACTGAAATGTCGAAAAAATCGGAAAATCAAAAAATTTAAAGCCGAGATATCAAAAAATCGAAAGATCGCAAAATCAAAATATTAAAAAATTGAAAAATTTAAGCATTCGAAAAGTTGAAAAATCAAAAAATCTAAAATTTAAAATATCGAAAAATCAATAAAAGGAAAAAAATAGAATGGTAAATTTGAAATTCAAAAATTCAAAAATCGAGATATCGAAAAATTGAAAAACCGAAATATTTGAAAATCAACATACTGAAAAACTCGAAAACTGAAATGTCGAAAATTGATAAATCCAAAAATTAATAAAAAATTGAAAAATTGAAAAATCGGAGAAAAATTGGAGAGTGCAAAAAACCGAAAAATTCCAAAACTGAAACATCAAAAAACCTGAAAATTTTAAAAATGGAAGGATTGAAAAACTGAAAAATCGAAAACTCGAAAGATTGAGCAATTGAACATCAAAAAGTCGAAAACAGAAAAATTTTAAAAACTCAAAAATATCGACAAACCAAAAAATCTAAAATTTAAAATCGAAATCGAAAAATCCAGAAATTGAAAGTTTCCCAGAATGAAATCAAAGGAAAAATCGAGAAATTGAAAAACCGAAAAACTGATAATGTATCAAAAACAGAAAAAATTGGGAGATGGAAATATCGAAACATTGAAAAATTGAAAAATGCAAAATTTAAAAATGATTTTGATCAAAAATTTTCCATGCCTATTATAACTTACTTTTTTCAACATGTTTATACTTCCTTTGCTTACGCTCGGGAAGTATAAACATGTTGATAATTTCTGAAATTAGTTTTTTATTCTGCATCAAAAAATATCAAAAAAAAAACTGGCTGTTCCATTAAAAAAAAAGTAGGCCGCCTTGGGTGTCTAACCAAACGCGATAAAAAAAGCAAAAATATTGTACATGATTGTTTTCCGGGTTGGAACCGTGTAAATTGAGTTTTTGGGCTCAACGTTTCGCACACTTTCGTAAGTGGCATCTTCAGGAGCAGGGTTAGAATAAGGCAAAAGAGCACGGTAACTCAGTATGTCAACCATACCAGAGGCGAAACTCTTTTTCCAACCCGGAAAACGATCATGTATTAATTTCAACCGTGGAAGCCTCCGAAACTAAAAATATTGTAATCAAGTCACCATGTTTAGCTATATATCCACATCAAATTTCCAAAAATAAGCTCTTCAAATAACAAAGTTATTCAATTGTTCCAGGACTTTATGCTAACCCTGTATATAAAACGCGATTTCTGCATTCAATGTTGGGCTATTTTAAAAAATTTAACTCTGTCAAAAATTTTTCGGTTATCTTGTCTTAATCAGTGTATAAAAAAATAGAAAGGAGTTTGAGAGAAGTTTAATTTTTTTGGACTGAGAAATTTTCCAAAAAAATGGTCGAACGATTTTTTGATCTGCGATTTTTGAACGGAGTAACGTTCCGTAAAAGCATTAGGACACTCTATATAAGTACTTCGTACTAAATCAACAAAGATATCTGAATTGGCGTTAAAACAATTCTAATTATAGTCGTTATAGTATTAAGACCCGTTCTCATCGATTTTCATTCAACAGCTGCAACAATGACTACACTCATGGGAACAAACCGCCGATAAAACAAGATAGAAAATCCCTTGAAACATACAATCCACATTCTTCAAACATCCAAAAATTCAAGCAAACCATCGACCTTTGATAACGAAAGAAAGTAAAACAAACAAAATAAATAAAACCGTGTGAAAAGTTCACAGATAAAATCGAGTGTGAACCAACGAAAAATGCTCACTTTAAATCTAGAAAAGCGATATTTATCAAAAACTTTAATCCCTTGGTAAAAATAAATTTGAGAACTCGATCTGACCCGTCCCAATAAATCGCGCCAAAAAAAAATGAATCATCACGTTACGCAAATCTAGTGTAAACATGAGGCATCGATCTGTGCCTAATTCTTGATTTCCCTCCGCAGAGAACGCCACCCGTCTCTGCTTCTCGAACGGAAGTTGGGACCAATACAGCAACTATACCTCCTGCAAAGAACTATCTCCTTTGGAAGTGCCCGAAGTGGAACTAACGACCACGATCTACTTCATTGGCTACACCGTCAGTCTCGTCGCCCTCCTCTTCGCCGTCTACATATTCTGGAAGTTCAAGTGAGTGAACCCAGTCGCAGCGCACGGGCCCAAAAAATGAGATGGAGGAGTTGAATCTCACTAGCAAAAATCAAGTGAAGAGACCACTGCTCCACTTACTTTACAGGGCCCTCGAATCCCCGTGTCGTGTCGGTCTTAGATGGGCTTTGCAAGTGGCCGTCATATGGAAGAGTTAGATCTGGCAATTCGATTCATGCGAAGACCTAATCTTCCACTCAAAGGCCGATTGCTTCCTCTCAACCAGAAAAGCGGAAAGAGCAAAAGACATACCTGGGTTCGGGCACTCACTGCACAAATTGGGGCCAGTGCGGCCGCTCCGAACATTTTATAACCCATCCCAGATTGATATCGATATCTGTGGCCAATAAGGTGTATCGATCCACGTAAGTACAGGTGAGTCTTTTTGCACTATTCTAAAATTAATGGTTGAGAGGAAGGTAAACAGTGTCTCGAATCGTTATCAAAAAACTGTACTTAAGGAGGCTCCAAATAATATTTTTCCTAGGATTCGATTTTATCGCCGGCTATCGACAAGTGGATTAGCGAGCGAGTCACCTCTTGCTCAACTCACATTCGTACTTTATCAGGGAGTGATCTCATTATGCTAATCGACAGAGGCGCCGACTGCTTGGGCGCTCCGGGACAAGGCCCGTGGCCGAAAATTCGTTTTATTATTAAAGATCTCGTCTAAATTCCATTTCGGATCAATACAGCCGCGGGACACTATGCCGCTAAATAACTTCGAACTTATAGACGAGTACTACATGCTACATGATACAAGATCTTTGAACATTTAAATTGTAAGAAAGTCGAGTTCAGACAAGCTGACTGTTCACCGAAAACGATAATAAGTATTCCACTGCGAGATATAAATATCGATCGATTGGGATTCAGCAAAAAAATTAATTCTGCTTCGTGCAATAGACAGCAGAAGCGATACAAAAAGATTTCAGTTAAGGTAGTCCGGTTAATGATCTTCCGAGCTCCCTCTAAAATTTTCCAGCCGGCGCCTATGCTAATAGATAAACGTTTGCCAATCAAGTGTTTCCACCCTACGTTTTCCATGATCGATAATTCGGCCCAATTTCCCGCAACTCCAATTTGCTGGAAAGTTACGAGAATTTCACCTTTATCTGAGTTTTGTAATGTTAGATAAGTTCGCTTTGAATAGATTTTAAAAAGTTTGGCTTTCGGCAGGACGGCGCTCGACAAAAGCCTAAAAATATTCCCCAACTTGGCACAACTGCGGAATTAAGCAAGAAAAAAGCGATCCACTTGTCGGAGTTTTCCAACTCTGAGAATTTCCGTTTGTTCGCAGGGACCTGAGATGTCTCCGGAACACCATCCACATGAACCTGATGTGCTCGTACATCCTGGCCGATTTCATGTGGATTTTCGTCTACAGCTTGCAGGTACGAAACGTGCTTGTAAATCGTAAAAATGGCGTGATTATTTCATTGGAAGTGTCAACAGCGTTATCTATAGTATTGACTGAGGAAATGTAATAATCTTGAGGCGAAACATTTTTATCGCGTATAAATATTTATTCGTAATTTTCGAATCGATTGCGAAGTGTTTTCGCTTTTCGTGCACCTTAATTTGTCTACTACTTGTTAATTACGCAACCGCGTATTATTACATCGCCGCTCCTCTTTCCATTACGCACTCGCTTAATTCCAAAATCGGGTTCATTACTCGATGATTTTTAATAGGTCGTTTATTCCGGCCTTTATTTCCTTTTGATAATAACTCGAACGGATTCTTTATATGCCCGTTTAAATTTTACGCCTGAGAGATCTTTAAATTTTACTGGCAGTTCGGCGTTTATGATTTTTCAATGGAAAAAGATTATGGAAAATCGCCTTTGCTGCACTCCGAGTGACAGCATCTCGGATGCATTTTCATCTCCACGTATCTGCACTTCTTTGATACGTAATCAAATTTTCGAGGTGACGTCCCGCGACTGTCTTTCGTTTAAACCATAAAACACGCAGTTTCATATCATCGGAGCACACAGAATAGTTAATTTCATTTAAGATACATAAAATCCAAACCTCGTTTATCTGTTTCATAACACGCGAGTTTGCACAATTAAAATGGGAAATTTCTAATTCGCCGTTAACATTTTCCTTCCTGGCAGATGTGGGAGTTTCCATTTAAAATTAACATTCCTCACATTTCGTATTTGTTTAAATAGTTCCAATATTTAATGTGAATATTGAATTTTAGTGATTTATAGGCGTTTCCAGGGTTTTACCGCGTGCTTAGTCGCGACGATTGTGCAATGTAAAAGTAAAACTATAAATTTTTCATTAATTCAGTAAAATATTTTTTAATTTTTTTTCTCATAGGTGGGAACATCAACTGTGGCGAAAATTTTAAAAAAACATCACTATCTGGCAAGCGAAAACCATCGGATTTATTTACAAATTATGTTTCGGAAAGACCTGCAACGACAAATTTGGCAACTTAATGAAAAAAAAACGAATATTTCACTGCAGATACTCTTTTGGCATTTTCTAGGGAACAGTTGGAATTTAAAGGGGGGCGAACCACATTATACAAAATTCTTAATTTTAGCACCTGCTAAAATGAGAGTGATTTTGGCAAATGACTTATCCTTTAAGAAATTTTATTAAATTATTATAAGAAAAGACACTAGAGGCTCCAAAGCACTTTCAGACTCTTTCCAAACAAGAATACCTAGAATCTCAAGATTGTTTCAAATTAAAAAAAAACCCGAGTCCAAAAATTAACTCAAAAACTGGATATCGAAATCTACAAGAAAATGAGTTCAACTATTTTGAAAATGGTTGAAAAATGGTCCAATCCAAAAATGTTAAAACTGCCAAAATCAGTTATATCTCATCAAATACTAGTAGCAGTAGCTACTAAGATAAGACTGATTTTGGTATAGTTTTCTTTCGACAACACGATACTTAACACATATTTCACATGGTAATTTCTTGTATAGAAATAGGGATTTAGCTATTAATCTCCACCTCCGCTCACGACGAATAAAATAATTAATTACAATTGAAATGGGGCGCGTGGGTGGGGCTTATTGTTTGACTTTTTTTCCGTAATATAGGTAGTATTCTTTCAACAATAAAATACTGAAAATATCAAATAGTGAATTTGAGATTCAAATTATGCTTTAAGTATCCTGTTGTTCACAGAAAACTATATATGTATTACGTAAAAGAAACCAATGATTAAGCCCCACCCACCCACCCTTGTCTCAATTCTGATCAATTTTTCATTTGTCGTCAGACCGAGGGGCGGTGCTTAAGTGCAAAATCCGTATTTCCCTACAAAAATTTACCGTTTTAAAAATGTTTTGAGTTTGTTGTTGCTAAAACTACGTACATTAAAAAAAAAGAAGCAAAATATAAGCCCCACACACCCGCCCTTTCGCATTGTGATGATTTTTTTTTATTTGTCGTGAACCGGGAGGCGGAGCTTAATTGTAAAATCATCATCAAATCGTCATTTCTCTACAAGAAACTACCATCTGAAAGATGTTTTTAAGTATTGTGTTGTTGAAAGAAAACTACATATGTAGATTAATAAAGAGAAGCTATGATTAAGCCCCACCCTCCCACCCTTGTCTCAATTGTAATGAATTTTTCATTTGTCGTCAGACCGAGGGGCGGTGCTTAAGTGTAAAATCCATATTTCCCTACAAAAAATTACCATTTTAAGCATGTTTTGAGTTTTTTGTTGTTAAAACTACGTATATTAAAAAAAAAAGAAGCAAAATATAAGCCACCCGCCCTAGCGCAGTGTGATGATTTTTTTTATTCGTCGTGAACCGGAAGGTGGAGCTTAATTGTAAAATCATCATCAAATAGTCATTTCTCTACAAGAAACTACCATCTGAAAGATGTTTTCAAGTATCGTGTTGTTGAAAAAAAAAACTACATTTGTAGATTAATAAAGAGAAGCTATGATTAAGCCCCACCCACCCACCCTTGTCTCAATTGTGACGAATTCTTCATTTGTCGTCAGACCGAGGGGCGATGCTTAAGTGCAAAATCCGTATTTCCCTACAAAAATTTACCATTTTAAAAATGTTTTGAGTTTCTTGTTGTTAAAACTACGTATATTAAAAAAAAGAAGCAAAATATAAGCCACCCGCCCTAACGCAGTGTAATGATTTTTTTTTATTCGTCGTGAACCGGGAGGCGGAGCTTAATTGTAAAATCATCATCAAATCGTCATTTCTCTACAAGAAACTACCATCTGAAAGATGTTTTTAAGTATTGTGTTGTTGAAAGAAAACTACATATGTAGATTAATAAAGAGAAGCTATGATTAAGCCCCACCCTCCCACCCTTGTCTCAATTGTGATCAATTTTTCATTTGTCGTCAGACCGAGGGGCGGTGCTTAAGTGTAAAATCCATATTTCCCTACAAAAAATTACCATTTTAAACATGTTTTGAGTTTTTTGTTGTTAAAACTACGTGTATTAAAAAAAAAAGAAGCAAAATATAAGCCACCCGCCCTAGCGCAGTGTGATGATTTTTTTTTATTCGTCGTGAACCGGAAGGTGGAGCTTAATTGTAAAATCATCATCAAATAGTCATTTCTCTACAAGAAACTACCATCTGAAAGATGTTTTTAAGTATCGTGTTGTTGAAAAAAAACTACATTTGTAGATTAATAAAGAGAAGCTATCATTAAGCCCCACCCACCCACCCTTGTCTCAATTGTGACGAATTTTTCATTTGTCGTCAGACAGAGGGGCGGTGCTTAAGTGCAAAATCCGTATTTCCCTACAAAAATTTACCATTTTAAAAATGTTTTGAGTTTCTTGTTGTGAAACTACGTATATTAAAAAAAAAAGAGGCAAAATATAAGCCCCACCCACCCGCCCTAGCGCAGTGTGATGATTTTTTTTTATTTGTCGTGAACCGGGAGGCGGAGCTTAATTGTAAAATCATCATCAAATAGTCATTTCTCTACAAGAAACTACCATCTGAAAGATGTTTTTAAGTATCGTGTTGTTGAAAAAAAACTACATTTGTAGATTAATAAAGAGAAGCTATTATTAAGCCCCACCCACCCACCCTTGTCTCAATTGTGACGAATTTTTCATTTGTCGTCAGACCGAGGGGCGGTGCTTAAGTGCAAAATCCGTATTTCCCTACAAAAATTTACCATTTTAAAAATGTTTTGAGTTTCTTGTTGTGAAACTACGTATATTAAAAAAAAAAGAGGCAAAATATAAGCCCCACCCACCCGCCCTAGCGCAGTGTGATGATTTTTTTTTATTCGTCGTGAACCGGGAGGCGGAGCTTAATTCTAAAATCATCATCAAATAATCATTTCTCTATAAGAAATTACAATATGAAAGATAAATAGAAATGATCTGGAAAACTATGGCTCTGCTTTCAAAAGAACCGCGAAAATTAATTAACCTGCAAACAAATCAATAAGCAAAGGTCATATCTGAAAATATTTAACTGCAATGCAACAAAATTATATCCAATTATTTATTGAAGTTACACATTTACATAAATATATTTTTTCTAAATCGATTCAAAAACTGGGTCCAGAGAGTTTTTTCCTTGAACAAAAAGGTTGTTTCAGGGACCTCTCCAGACCAACAAGGCTTTCTGCATCTTCCTCATCATCTTGCTCCACTACTTCCACCTAACCAACTTCTTCTGGATGTTCGTCGAAGGTCGGTACTTCCTTTCCGTTCGCCCCTTCCGGCCCACTCACGCTTGTAACTTTCCAGGTTTGTACCTATACATTCTGGTAGTGAAAACCTTCACCGGAGAGAACATCAAACCTCGGATCTACGCCGTAATAGGCTGGGGTAAGTTATTAGTTCGATGAAAAGGGTAAAAGCCACTTTGTCCGTCTTTTATAGCGACAATATAATCGAAAGACACATTGTGCGACGTCACATTTTGAGTGACTCTTTGATGTCATTCGCATGTTGCTTGTAATGAAGGTAATTACGAGGTTTCAGTTCGATCTGACGCTCTTCTTCGTCCTTCTCTTTGTCTACTAATTTCGTGAATGTTCAATCAAAGGTTTAGGTGATTAATAACGTAATCAGTTTGAACATGGTAACGCGCGCCTCGTAATTATGCCATTCCATGGGAGGAATGAATATTCCCGGGCACGGTTTTTCGAATTATGAGGTCATAATTGGGCTTTACTGAATAATTTCTAAACATTTGTCCGACAATGGAGGAGATTAAGCGCGAAAACGTATTTGCGAAAGGGAATTAAACGCGAAGATTCGCTATTCTGCGGAAATAATGAGCGAAAATTATTTGAGCTTTTATTTTTTGTGCTTATTATTTATTAAGAACGGAAGCTGGAACGGGAACTCGAAAACGAATAGAAAAATTGCAAATCACTTATTAACCCCGCGTTCACAGTATTTTCGCTAGAATAAATACAAAAACGATAGAGTTCTGTGACCTCTCCAAACAGTCGACGACTTCCGGTCTAACTTTAAATATGTCACTTTCAAGGCCACCGGTCGCCGGCGGACGAGATTACAATCACCGTTTACATAGGCAAAAATTTGCCACTTTCCTCGTACAAAATAGAGAAATAATTCCTATTACAAGTGCGCATATGACACTCGTTATCAAGCATCGAAATGTATTTTTCACTATTATTTGTAACACGTTTCGTAACACAAATCGATAAGCGCCTCTCAAAGCCATGTTTATTTTTGAAAACTGTAAACAACTTTCCTAGATAGAGAGATAAGCGCACAAAATTCATAAACCTAGGAAACAACAAATCAAAGGCTCGACCACATCAAAATTCCTCTGAAATGCGACCGCAATGATTTTCCGTCAATTACAGCAAACTGTGACCACAATAAAGCTCTCCTAAAGCACAAAAATGTAATCGATGCTGAAAGCGCCCATTTTTCAGGTGGTCCGATCGTCTTTGTCCTCATATGGGGCATCGCCAAGAGCTTCACGCTACCCTTGGAAGACCAACAGGTAATCGATCCCATTCAAACTTTGCCATTGTCGTTTCTAGAAGATCTTTATCTTGACGACGCTGACGTGGACGGGCTGTTTGCGCAAATCGAAATAAATAAGATCACACCTTAATTTATTGGGGATATTGTGCCGAGTAAATGTTTACCAGATTAGATTTTACACCGAAAAATGAACTCAAGTCTATAATTATTTTTACTTGTCTTATCGAACTAAAGTACTCTGGCACCTGTGCAAACATTTCTTAATCTCCTAATTAATTTATCGACACTTGTACAAAAAATTCGTTGAATTTTTACTAAAAACTTACTTCGGAATTATTAGTTGCTACTAGCTGCTATCTCTTTTCAAGAAATGAGTATCGTACGTGTCGAACAAAGATAGCAGGAAAATTCTCAAAACTAAAACTTTTTTTGCTGATTTAGGCTGGGGAGATGTTCAGGAGCTGTCCCTGGACTCCGCACCCTTTCGACTGGATTTACCAAGGTCCTGCAATAGCCGTGCTAATAATAAACGTAATATTCCTGTGCATCATCATGTGGGTAAGCCCTAGCGAATCCTGCGTTTTCACTTTTAGCAGGACGAATTTGCAGGTTTTAATAACGAAACTCCGGTCGGCGAACAATGTGGAAACACAGCAATACAGGAAAGCGGCCAAAGCCCTTCTAGTTCTTATTCCTCTCCTGGGAGTAACTTATATCCTTGTAATAGTCGGGCCCACCGAAGGAATCTCCAGGCGCATATATGACAGCATTAGAGCCATACTACTATCTACTCAGGTTAGACCCGGCTGTTGGTAAAAATAAGAATTTATTTTGGTAAAACGTGCGAAAGCGTAACTGCTAAATGGAAAAGATAATGCGAAATGCGCTTATCTGTTTGATTTGTTACACAAACAGGGAATTTGTGGTGTTTGGAATAATTGCTAAGAGGTCAAGAATTTCGTGTGGCTAAGACGAAATTCACCGTTTTTACGTCACGAGTGGGATAAGTGCATCATTATATGCGAGGTGGTGTTCGTTCACAACGAGGCGTTAGCCGAGCTAAATTAATAAACAAAACAATCATTATGTAAAAAGAAAAAAATCTCATGGTATCTTTAAAAAACTATATTAAAAAATCAAAGTCGAATAAGACCGAAATTGCCAAAAAGCTCAGTGTTTACAACGTCGATGCTAACAAAAATTAGATTATATTTCATATCGTCGCCTGAGAACTTGTTTGATCTACAGACCAGAGCGCAATCATGCCAATTTGTGGTTTATTAAATAAGCTTTTGAGATTTTTCGGCTTTTCCATTTATTGGTTTTTCAACTGTGGATGTCTCAATTTTTTCATTTTTCAAATTTTCGATTTTTCAATTTTTCAAATTTTGATGTTTCTAAATTTTCAGTTTTCCGATTTCTGCAGTAATTTTTCTTTTATTTTCCCATTTCTCGACTTCCCAAAGATTCAATTTTTCCCTTCTTCAATTTTTCAGGTTTTTGATTTTTCAATTTTTCGATTTTTTAAACTTACGATTTTTCGACTTTTTAGTTTTTCGATTTCTCAATTTCTTTCAGTTTTGGGATTTTTCAATATTTCGATTTTTCGACTTTTAGATTTTTGGACTCCTGGATTTTTAGATTTTCCGATTTTTTATTTTTTAGATTTTTCAATTTTTCGACTGTTTTATTACTTCGATTTCTGAATTTTTCAACTTTTCCATATGTTTTAATTTTTCAGGTTTTAAAATTCTAGGTTAATCGATTTTTCGAGTTTTCAGTTCTTCTATATTTCAATTTTTTAATGTTCCGAATTTTTAAATTTTAGATTTTCCAATTTTTCTTTTTCAAAATTTCTCGATTTATCAATTTTTCAACTTTTAACTTTTCTTCTCGACTTTCGACTCCTGGATTTCTAGATCCTCTGATTTTTCGATTTCTCGATTTCTCGGTTTTTGAATTTTTCCATGTTTCGATTTTTGGATTTCTCGGTTATTCGATTTTTCAGTTATCCGATTTTTTAATTTTGGAAATTCGATTTCTCCATTTATCGATTTTTAAATTTTGGATTTTCGAATTTTTATTTTTTGATTTTTTGATGTTTGGATTTCTCGATTTTTCAATTTTGCGACATTTTAATTGTTCAATGTTCTAAATTTTTAGTTTTTCGATTTCTCAATTAATCTATTTTTAATTTTCCAATTTCTCGACTTCTCAAAGTTTCGATTTTTCAGTTCTTCGATTTTTCGAGTTTACTTTTTTTGGTTTTTGGATCTCTCAATTTTCCAAATTTTTAATTTCTCAATTTTTGGATATTTCTTTCAGTTTTGTAATTTTTTCAATATTTCGATTTTTCGACTTTTCGATTTTTCGACTTCTGGATTTTTAGATTTTTTATTTTTTGGATATTCAATTTACCATTTTTTAAATTTCAGATTTTTTAATTTTTCGACTGTTTTATTTTCGACTTTTCAATTTTTCGAATTTTAATTATTCGATTTTTAAAAAGTCTATATTTTTCCATTTCTCGACTTCCCAACGTTTCGATTTTTCACTTCTTCAATTTTTCAGGTTTTTGATTTTTCAGTTTTTCGATTTTTTAAGTTTACGAGTTGTCGACATTGATTTTTTAGCTTTTCGAATTCTCAAATTTTCCAATTTTTTGATTTCTCAATTTTTTGGATATTTCTTTTAGTTTTGGGATTTTTCAATATTTCGATTTTTCGACTTTTCGATTTTTGGACTCCTGGATTTCTTGATTTCTCAATTTTTTACTTTTTGGCTTTTCAATTTTTCGACTGTTTTATTACTTCGATTTCTCAATATTTTAACTTTTCCATGTTTTAATTCTTCACTTTTTAAAATTCTAGGTTCGATTTCTTGAGCTTTCAGTTCTTCTAAATTTCAATTTTTTAATTTTCCGACTTTTTAAATTTTCGAATTTCCAATTTTTCATTTCAAAATTTCTCTATTTATCAATTTTTATCTTTTTTTCTCGCATTTCTCGATGATCTGATTTTTCAATTTCTCGATGTCTCAGTTTTGAATTTTTCCATATTTCGATTTTTGGATTTTCCAGTTTTTCGACATTTAAATTTTAGATGTTCGAATTTTTATTTTTTGATTTTTGCATTTCTCAATTTTTCAATTTTGCGATATTTTAATTGTTCAATGTTCTAAATTTTAGATTTTTCAGTTCTTCAGTATTGCTATTTTTCAATTTTTCAAATTTTGACGTGGCTAAATTTTCAGCTTTCCGATTTCTCAATTAAACTATTTTTGATTTTGCCATTTCTCGACGTCACAAAGTTTCGATTCTTCAGTTTTCCGATTTTTCGACTTTTCGACCTCTAAATTTTTCTATTTTTTATTTTTCAGATTTTCAGTTTTTCATTTTTTGAATTTTTTATTTTTCAATTTTTCGACTATTTTATAATTCGATTTCTCAATTTTTCAACTTTTCGTTATTTTAATTTTTCGATTTTTAAAATTCTAGATTTTTCGATGTTTCGTGTTTTCAGTTCTTCTACAAATATTTTAATTTTTCAGTTTTCTGAATTTTTAAATTTTCGATTTTTCAATTTTTTGAAATCTCGATTTATGGAGATTCGGATATTTCGATGTTTTGATGTTCAATCTCTCGATTTATCAATTTTTCCCATTTTCAACTTTCCGCTTTTTCAATTTTGGCCTATTTATATTTCGAAAAATTGGAAAATCGAAAAATTCAAAAATAAATTGGAAAATCTAAAATTTAATTTTTTATTTTTTTTTTATTTTATTTTATTCAATAACGTTACCCAATAGACCGGAGGCCCAATTACAGGGTAATGGGGGCATACACAACACCCAGAGCAGGGCGGGAATCGAACCCATGACCCAAGGTGTACCGGGCAAGCACTCTGTTACCTAACCCGCCCAGAAAATCCGGAAAATCTGGAAAATCTAGAAACTTCAGAAATCAAAAAAAAATCAGAAAATCCGAAAAATCCACACATTCTGAAAAATCCAAAAATCCAGAAAATTAAAAAAAATCCAAATAATCCAGAAAATTCAGAACTATTAGCAAATCCAAACAATTCAGAAAGTCCAGAAAATCTATAAAATCTGGAAAACCTACAAAATCCAAAAAACCTGAAAAATCTGGAAAATCGAGAAAATGCAAAAATCAAAAAATCCAAATAATACAGTGTCCAAAAAATCTAGTAAATTTTAAAATTTGGAAATCCAGAAAATCTTAAAAATCTAGAAAGTCTGGAAAAACCAGAAGATCTAAAAAATCCAGAAAATCCAGAAATTCTAAATAATCCAAAAAATTCAGATAATCGAAAAAATCCACAAAATTTGGAGGGTCTAGAATCAGGAATATCTACAAATATCTGAAAAATCTGAAAAATCTGGGAAATTCAGAAAATCCAAAAATTCTGAAAAATTCAAAAACTTTAAAAGATCCAAAAAATCGAGAAAGTCCAGAAGATCCAGAAAATCTGAAAAATTTTGAAAATCTGGAACATTCAGAAACCTTAAAAATTCTGGAAAATTTGTAATATCCGGAAAAGCTGAAAAATCTGGAAATAAATAAATAAATAAATAAATAAAGTTTATTGCCCAACAGAAGTACACATTCCAGTTACAGGACAATTATAAAGAATATAAAAACAATGACAACAATTCAGAATCAAAGAAAATAACAAATTAATAAATTAAATGCATAAACAATCAAAAATCTAGAAAAAAATCTTGAAAATCTGGAAAAACTTGAAAATCCAGAAAATCAAAAAATCCAAGAAATCCAAAAATATCCGACAAAACTAAAAAAATCCAAAAAATGCGAAAAGCTTAAAAAATATGGAAAATCCAGAAAATCTGGGAAATCTGCAAAATCTGGAAAATTCAGAAAATCTTGAAAATCTGGAAAATTCAGAAAATTTGGAAAATCTGGAAAATCCACAAAATGCAGAAAATCCAGAAAATAAGGAAAATCCACAAAATCTGGAATATCTACAAATTCCAAGAAATCCAAAAATATCCGACAAAACCCAAAAAATTCAAAAAATCCAAAAAATGCGAAAAACTTAAAAAATATGGAAAATCCAGAAAATCTGGGTAATCTGCAAAATCTGGAAATTCCAGAAAATCTTGAAAATCTGGAAAATTCAGAAAATTTGGAAAATCTGGAAGATCCACAAAATGCAGAAAATATGGAAAATCCACAAAATCTAGAAAATCTATAAAATCTAGGAAATCTGGAAAATCTGGAACCATCTACATATTTCTAATATCCATACAAAATTTGACAACAATCGGTCCATCAGTTGCGGAGATTGTTTAATAGAAATAGATTCAGAGACAGACAGACCGAAACGGGATACTTTTTTCGTACTGTAAGCGTCATGAAACGTCGAGAAAACATAAAAGTAACAACTCGTCCGATGGACTCGCTTACACTCGGGAAGTAAAGTTGTCAAAAAATTCTCAAAAAGTTCAGCGTTGCGTTCATCGTGCAACATTTTGAAAATGTTCGGGTTTAAAATCAATTTTTTCAATTTTCGGAATTTAAAAATTCCGAAAATTGAAAAATTGAAATACAGAAGAACTGAAAACTCAAAAAATTGAAAAACCTAAAATTTTAAAAACTGAAAGTTAAAATACCGGAAAGCTGAAAAATTGAGAACTCGAAGTGTATAAAACAGCCGAAAAATTGAAAGTTTAAAAAACGAAAAACTGAAAATCCAAAAACTAAAAATTCGAGAAGACCGAAAATCACAAAAATGAGCTATCGAAAAACTAAAAATAGAAGAAAAATTGAAGAATTGAAAAACTGAAAAATTACAAAATTGGACGAAATATCCAAAAATTAGGAAACTAAAAAATCGAAAAATCGAAAAATCAGAAACCTGAAAAATCGAAAAATTGAAGAAATGAGAAATCGAAAAATCTAAAAGTCTAAAATTGAAAACATTGAAGAATTAAAATATGGTAACATTGAAAAATAGTGAAATCCAAACATCAAAAAATTAAAAAAATTAAAATTCGAAAATCTAAAAACTTGGAAAATAAAAAAATCGGATAATTCAAAAATCGAAGCATCGAAAAATCGAAAAGCCGAAAAGTAAAAAACGAACAAATCGAAAACTCAAAAGATCGAAAAGTTGAAAAATCGAAAAATTGAGAAAGTATGCTATTATGTTTGTAAATAAAAGCATCTAAATCACAACTCTTTCCAGCAGAAATTCCAACCCCTTAGAGTCTACATTGGCCTGAGCGCGCTCCGGTCTGCGGATCAAACAAGTTCTCAGGCGACGATATTTAATTTTGTTTTTAATGAAAGTATAATATTACACCGAAAAAACATAATTTAATACAAACAGAGATAAATTCAATTTAAAAATAGCGGCAGCATTCCGAGTAACATGACACGAGTTTTTTGCCATATTATACACGACGCGATTATTCAAAGACAAAAATATTCAATTATTTGTTTCTGTCACATCCTTTTACAAATTGGTGCTATGAAAAAATTTGCCAAAACTGTTGTTTGTGAATTCTGAGTGTCACTATGACGTGACAATCTCCAACATGAAAAATTAATCCCATTTGCTACACTCATTCATTTCATAAACAACGAGATTAAAGATTTTTTTATTGATAAAATATAACGAATCGACAACTTAATTATAGCATTCATTCTCGGCTTATGATTTTTCTTTTTGTTCATTTAATTTATCTAATCTTTTATTCTAGGCAACAGTAATTATTACGAGATATGGTGATCTTGGCGCTTTTTTAAAGTGGTCGTTTCCGGTGCCATTCAGATAAATGCAAAAATTTTAAACTATTCAGAATTTGCCGAAATAACGTCACTCGTAATAACCGTGAATAGCAAACACAAAGGAGACCCTTGAGATTCCCCAAACAACAAAATCGAATGTAATCGCGCCGCTTTTTGCAGGGTTTCACCGTGGCCCTTTTCTACTGCTTCCTCAACGCCGAAGTGAAGAACACAGTCCGCCACCACTACAACAGCTGGCACACCCGCCGAACCCTCGGCTCCCGTAGAACCCGCTACTCCTCGAGCCGGGACTGGTCGTCCCAGGCCAGAGACAGCATGCGGTATGGGACTAAAAGGACTGGCCACTCGCCCCTAAAATACTAACGTGGAAAGTTTTTAGTTTGTATCAGACAAACTCGTACAGAAAACGGGGATCCACCTGCTCCACCGGCACCACCACCACTGTCGTGGTAGTGCCGTTCCCCAAACTCTCCCAACAAAAACTCTCCAACAACAGCGACGCCGGATGAGAAATAATGCCGCGAGGAGATAGAAGGTGGGTTGCTCGGGTCCGGGTATTGTTTGTTCATGGCCTGCTTGCAGAGCTACGATGGATACTCTTCTGGAGGAGGAAGGAGCGTGTTCGTTCGCGTCTTCTCGTGGCAACTCCATACCCAATGTTGACATATCGACGTTTAGCATCAAGTGAAGTGGAAGCTGAGATAAGTCGCAAATTCGACGGAAAGTTGTGATTTTATGTGGACCTCGATATGTGAAAATGCATATTTTTGTCTTAAGTACGTGTCACACGATATCTATTTTATGATGTTTGTAATAAATGGAAAGTTATTTTTTCTATGTACGTATTCGTGGTCGGTGTCGAAGATAAAAGTCATCAGATTGCCGAATTGACTGTTGCGGTGTTGGTGTCGCGAAGATGCACACAATATTATTGTAAAAAAATCGGTTTTTAAGCTTGTAAATAAGGCGAAAACACTTATATTTATCGTTATTTTGCCAAAACCCTACATCCAACGTGTACGTTTGTAAAAATAAACATGTTTGAAAGTCAGTTATTTTCTTTGTAAGTTGAAGTCTTCCAACTTCTTCATTTTCCCGATGACAGATTTGAGAAAAGAGTAAAAAACGCAAGGTGGTACATGTGAAGTACCGGGTGACAATCAGTAATAATTGAATCAAATTTTTATGTTGGCAATTCTGAATTATTGGCACAATCATAGATTAATATAGATGCAACATACAGGCTGATTTTGCAAAACCACCCTTATTGACATTGGAGTCCTCAACCGCCAAAGGCAAGCGCCAAATTTAAGTAGTCGATGCCAATAAAAAAACTTATTTCACTACAACTCGTCGCCTGAGAACTTGTTTGATCTACAGACCAGAGCGCGCTCAGGCCGATGTCGACTCTAAAGGCGTTCAGAAGCGATTTGGTTGGTTTAGATGATTTTACATATTTTGTTTAACTAAAAATTAATTCTTTATTTGTATTTTATACTTGCAAAACGTCTTAAACTAAGAATATTGTTGAAATCGTAATAACCCAATGGATTTTTTTCGGGAAAATGTTTTGGAAACACTGTGTTCTATTTTGTATGAATTTTTAAATGTTTTTAGTGACAATTTTTGTGGTTGTTTTCGATACACTGTATGATATTAACAGTGAGAAAAAAAAATGAAAAATTAAAATAATCGAAAATTCGAGAAATCTAATAATTGAAAAATCGAAACCTTAAAAAATCGTCAAATCGAAACATTGAAAAATCGAAATTTCGAAGAACTGAAAATCGAAAAATGAAACATCAGAAAATAAAATTTAAAAACCGAATAACGAAAAATCGAGAAATTGAAACTCCCAAATTTAAAAAATCGGATAACTGAAAAATCGAAACATCGAAAAATCGAGAAATCGAAAAATCAAAATCGTGGAGTCGAAAATTCGAACAATTGAGAAACCGAAATAGGCCAAAATCGAAAAATTGAACAATTTCTAAATTGAGAAACTGACAATCAAAATATCGAAAAATCCGAATCTCGATAAATCGAGAAATCAACAATCTTAAAAATTCGAAAAATTGAAAAACTGAGAGATTGAAAAATCATAAGAACGAGAAATCCAAAAGTGATGAAGTCGAAAAATCGAAAAATAGAAAAATCGACAAACAAAAAGTTAAAAGTTAAAAAACCGGAAAAGCGGAAAAATCAAAAAACGAAAAAATGGAAAACGGGAAAAAATGGGAAACCGAAATAGGCCAAAATAAAAAATTGAAAAAGTGATAAATCGAAAACCTGAACAATCAAATCTCGATAAATCGGGAATGAAAAATTAACAAATCGAAAAATTGAAAAACAGAACATCTAAAACCAGGAAGTCGAAAAATCGACAGATTAAGAAATATTAAAAAATTAAAATATCAAAAGATTGAAAAATCTAAAATTTAAAAATCCAAAAATTGAAAAATCGAAAAAGTAATAACGTAGAGACATCGAAAAATCCAGAAGTCAAAAATAGAAAAGCCGAAGAATTGAAATATTGAAAAATCCTAAAACTGGAATATCTAAAAACTGAAAAATCGAAAAATCAAATAAGTGAAGTCGAAAAATAGAACCCTTAAAAATCGAAAAATTGAAAAATCAAAAAATTAAATAATTGAAGAACAGGAAAATCGAAACACTCGAAGGTCAAGAAATGGGAAAATCAAAACATCGATTAATTGAAAAATGGAAAAATTGAGTTTAAAAAAGTCAAATTTGAAAAATTAGAAAATCGAAAATTTGACAAAATGACAATCGAAAAACAGAGATTCTAAAACCGGGACGTCGAAAAATCAAAAGATTAAGAAATCGAAACATTTGACAAAATTAGAAATCTTGAAAAAATTGAAATATCGAAGAATTGAAATGAAAAATCGAGAAATCGAAAAATCTGAAATTTAAAAATTGAAAAATCGAAAAAGTAAAAAAATCGACACATCGAAAAATCCAGGAGTCAAAAATCGAAAAGTCGAAGAATCGAAATATTGAAAAATCCCAAAACTGAAAATTCAAAGAAAAACCAAAAATGGGGAACTAAACCGGGAGATCAAAACATTGAAAAATCGAAAAATTTAAAACGACAATTGAAAACAGAAAATCTAAAACCGGGAAAAATCGAAAGATTAAGCAATCGAAAAATTGGAAGATCGAAAAAGTAAAAAAATCCAATAAATCTTAAAAATCTAGAGATCCAGAAATTCTGAATAATCCAAAAAGTCCAAAAAATTTGGAGTCTGGAAAATTAGGAAAATCCACAAATATCTGAAAAATTTGAAAAATCTGGAAAATTCAGAAAATCCAAAAATTCTGAAAAATCCAAAAATCTAGAAAATACAGAAAATTTTAAAAATCCAAAAAATCAAGAAAGTCCAGAAGATCCAGAAAATCTGAAAAATTTTGAAAATCTGGAACATTCAGAAACTTTGAAAATTATGGAAAACTTGGAAAATTTGTAATATCCGGAAAATCTGGAAAGTCTAGAAAATCTTAAAAATCTGGAAAATCTAGAAAGTACAGAAAGTTCAGTAAAGATGGAAAAACTGCAAAATCCAGGAAATGCAAAAAATCAAATCTGAATAATGTAGAAAATCCAGAAAATCTGGAAAATTCAGAAAATCCAGAAAATCTAGAAAAAATCTTGAAAATCTGAAAAAACTTGAAAAACCAGAAAATCAAAAAAATACAAGAAATCCAAAAAAATCCAACAAAATCCAAAAAATTCAGATGATCCAAAAAATGCGGAAAACCTAAAAAATATGGTAAATCCAGAGAATCTGGAAATTCTGACAAATCTAGGGAAAACAGATAAAATCCGATAAATTTGGAAAATCTGAAAAATCTGCAAAATCTGGAAAATCCAGAAAATACAGAAAATCTTGAAAATCGAGAAAATATGGAAAATCCATTAAATCTAGAAAATCTGGACAATCTACAAAATCTAGGAAATCTGGAAAATCCAGAAAATCTGGAACCATCTACATATTTCTAATATACATACAAAATTTGACAACAATCGGTCCATCAGTTTCGGAGATTGCGTGTCTAATAGAAATAGATTCAGAGACAGACAGACAGACCGAAACGGCACACTACTTTTTTTCGTACTGTAAGGGTCATGAAACGTCGAAAAAACATAAAAGTAACAACTCGTCCGATGGACTCGCTTACGCTCGGGAAGTAAAGTTGTCAAAAAATTCTCAAAAAGTTCAGCGTTGCGTTCATCGCGCAACATTTTCAAAATGTTCGGGTTTAAAATCAAAAATCAAAAATCGAAAAATAGAAAAATGAAAAACCTGAAAAATCAAAAAATTAAATAATTGAAGAACAGGAAAATCGAAACACTCGAAGAAATGGGAAAATCAAAACATCGATTAATTGAAAAATGGAAAAATTGAGTTTATAAAAGTCAAATTTGAAAAATTAGAAAATCGAAAATTTGACAAAATGGCAGTCGAAAAACAGAGAATCTAAAACCGGGATGTCGAAAAATCAAAAGATTAAAAAATCGAAACATTTGAAAAATTCAAAAACTTGGAAAAATTGAAATATCGAAGAACTGAAATGAAAAATCGAGAAATCGAAAAATCTAAAATTTTAAAAATTAAAAAATCTAAAATTTAAAAATTGAAAAATCGAAAAAGTAAAAAAATCGGCTCATCAAAAAATCGAAAAGTCGAAGAATCGAAATGTTGAAAAATCCCAAAACTGAAATATCGAAAAACTGAAATTTTTTTTAAATTTTTAAAAATGGGGAACTAAATCGGGAAATCAAAACATTGAAAAATCGAAAAATTTAAAACAATTGAAAACAGAAATTCTAAAATCGGGAAGTCAAAAAATCGAAAGATTAAGCAATCGAAAAATTGAAAGATCGAAAAAGTAAAAAAATCCAGTAAATTTTAAAAATCTGGAGATCCAGAAATTCTGAATAATCCAAAAAAATCCCAAAAATTTGGAGAGTCTGGAAAATCAGGAGTATCCACAAATATCTGAAAAATTTGAAAAATCTGGTAAATTCAGAAAATCCAGAAATTCTGAAAAATCCAAAAAATCTAGAAAATACAGAAAATTTTAAAAATACAAAACATCAAGAAAGTTCAGAAGATCCAGAAAATCTGAAAAATTTTGAAAATCTGGAACATTCAGAAACTTTGAAAATTCTGAAGAACTTGGAAAATTTGTAATATCCGGAAAATCTGAAAAATCTGGAAAGTCTAGAAAATCTTGAAAATCTGGAAAATCTAGAAAGTGCAGAAAATTCACAAAAGATGGACAATCTGCAAAATCCAGGTAATGCAAAAAATCAAATCTGAATAATGTAGAAAATCCAGGAAATCTGAAAACCCACAAAATGCGGAAAACCTAAAAAATATGGAAAATCCAGAAAATCTGGAAAATCTGACAAATCTAGGAAAAACAGAAGATCTGGAAAATTCAGAAAATCCAGAAAATCTAGAAAAAATCTTGAAAATCTGGAAAAACTTCAAAAACCAGGAAATCAAAAAAATACAAGAAATCCAAAAAATCCAACAAAATCCAAAAATTCAGAAAATCCAAAAAATGCGGAAAACCTAAAAAGAGAATCTGGAAAAATAAATATGAAATATCTGAAATATCGAAAAACTGAAATATCCAAAAACTGAGAACCTAAAAATTCGAAAAACTGAGCAATCGAAAAATCCAAAAAGTAAAGTCGAAAAATCGAAACCTTAAAAAAACTAAAAAATGAAAAATCAAAAACCTGAAAAATCGAAAAATTAAAGAATTGAAGAACAAGAATATCGAAACCCTCGAAGGTCAAGAAATGGGAAAATCAAAACATGGATTAATTTAAAAATCGAAAAATTGAGTTTATAAATGTCAAATTTGAAAAATCCAAAATTTGAAAAAACGAGAGTTGAAAAACAGAAAATCCAAAACCGGAAAGTCGAAAAATCGATAGATTAAGAAATCAAAACATTTGAAAAATTCGAAAACTTGAAAAACTGAAATATCGAAAAACTGAAATGAAAAATCGAGAAATCTAAAATTTAAAATATTGAAAAATTAAAATACCAAAAAATTGAGAAATCTAAAATTTAAAAATCGAAAAAGTAAAAAGTCGACACATCGAAAAATCCAGAAGTCAAAAATGGAAAAGTCGAAGAACAGAAATATTGAAAAATCCCAAAACTGAAATATCGAAAAACTGAGAATCAATAGAATCGAAAAAGTCCAAGCGTTAAAAAACCGAAAAATTGAAAAATCAAAAACCTGCAAAATTGTAAGATAGAAAAATTTTATTCCTAGTTAGAAACAAACACTGTTGCCAACATAAGTCGAGGAGTCCTCAACCGTCATTTAATTTAAACTATGACGCTTCTCTATATTCTCTGGCACAATCAGGTATACCATCCCAAATTTTAAACAAGTTGCCAACTTGACAAAAAAACCCACAATCATTAACAACCACCCCATTTTTGAACAAATCCACACCAACATAATTAAAGTTACGTTTTTATTGCGTCATCTACAACAATATCTTCGTTTTTGTCACTGTTGGCGTCGTTTTCTGGTTTCGCCGACTCCTCGTTTTGCGTCGGCTCCACCATATTCAACAACGGGTTGATTTTAACAGGCAATAAATGTCTGATTGGTTCGACGATGAGCTCTTTATTTAAAAACGTGAGTCCTTCGTTTTGGAGCACTTGGACGTTGACTCCCAGACTGCTGGCGATGTTGCTTGGAGGGAAAATAATGTGGACGCACTTCTGCAAATACGGCACCAGGTCGTCGGCGAAGCTCATACACAACCTAGTGAAAGCGTCCTTCGAGTTCGCCGTGAAAGCTTGCTGCTCTTGGCCGTGCAGCACCAAGACCGAGCGCGCGATCACCAGCAGACTGCTCTGCAGAGAATCGACCACGGCTTTGACGGTGGCGACTGGGGCGCACAGCTTTAGCTCGTTCAAAGCTGTTAGAATGTTATTCAAGAACTCGGCGAGGGGGTAGAACTCGAGGAGACTGTCGGGGGGTTGCAGAGGGTCGTCGTTTTTGGTCTTCCAAGGAATGTTGGGGTGGTTTTTGTTGATTAGGGTGAATCTTTCCATGTTTGCTTCGAATTTTCTGACGGCTTCGTCGACCGACGTTTCGAAATCACGCGCGATTTTGTGGGTGAAGATAGGGACGAGGAGGGAGCGGAAGTCGCAGCCGACTTTGCTGAATGAAATGCCAAAGTACATGCATTGGGCGAGAATTGAGTCTATGGAGGACACCCCTTGGGCTAAATCGTCTTCCAAGGTTTGCAGGAACTCGGAGATTTTGTCTCTGATCCAAGTGAAGAAAATCACGTTTTGGTTGACCTGCTGGCTTTTGATGGACGCAAGGGGGCTGTGCTCGTCGTCGTTGAAAATCGCGCGGTATTGGGTGATGATGTTGAAGAGATTGACGCGGGTTACCTCCACGGTTTTGTTCAGGTGGTAGGTGGCTGCAATTTTTTTTTTTTTTAGTTAACTTCCAAGAAAATATTTTGTAAAATTTTCAAAAACTCAATACTCTACCATTATCTTTGGGGATTGCGTTCAAACACGACTGCAGCCAAGCGTTCCTAGTTTGCAAAAACTTGAGCCTTAATTCCGTCTCTGTAAAAACCTGCATCCGCCGCAAATGACTCACAATTTGCAAACATTTTGGTAATGTCAATTCCTGTTTTAGCTGAGTCAGCAGCTGATGCAGCATTAACAACCACGCTTTATCCACATCACTGACAATACTCTACAATTAACAACATTAAAATCAACAAAACAATTATTTCCCAAATTACTTTAAAAATAGGCACATCTGGATGCTTTGTGTGCAACTTTCGCACATACCCCGCTAGCTCCAACGCACTCTCATACAACCCGTCATTAATAAACGAATTCATCAACTGAGGAAGCTCCAAAATCTCAAGCAGTTGTGCATTCCTTGTCAGAGTGAGCGAGTTCAGACGCCTCAAATTATTAATCCCGCTTGTCTCTTCACCAAACAACTGACACCGTTTCTCAAAGTTGGGTATATCCTCCAAGAGGTCGTCAAGCTTTGACTCTATACTGTTAAACTGGCTGAACAAATCTCGAGAGCACTGTGCCGTCTCGATAAAAGTTTTGTAATTCGTGACTGCAAGTTCCTGAGTTTGTTCGTGGATTCCGACCTTCTCGTCGTTTAAACGGGACGGTTCTTTGGCTAAATCCTCGACTTTATAAGTTCCTAATTTTGAAATGTAGTCGTCGAAAGAGGTGTTGTACTCCCACGAACCTAGACGAACGATTTTAGTTAAATTGAATATTTTTGTGCGCGCTTTTTACTTGGAAAGCCGTTAGGAAACACCAGTTTCAGTAAATTGGTCCTTTCGTCGCTCATTTCTGCGGTTTTGGGGCGCTTTTAAAAACTTGTGTTGACATGTCACTGGTTACTCTACGCAGGACGTAATCACTCAGGGTTTACCTAAGCGCGACAAAAAAGGACGCGATCACGTCATTTCAAGTGTTTTTGAATAACAATTTTCATTTTTTTAAACATTCAAGCCGTGACATTTAAATTAAATAGAATTGTTGGATTTAAATTTGCGCTATTTTTTATGTGCGGCGATTTTTCGTGTGGAATTTAATAACCCCCGCCCCTTAGAAACGTCAGTGTAGTTTAAGGTTAGGTTTGTGTGCACATAAATAATGGAACAAAGTAGTTTTTAGAAAGGAAATTTTTAGCATGATTTATTGTAAAGGTAATTTTCCATTGTTCCGCGTCGGTTTGCGTTAATTTGTTGTAACTTTTCGCAGGAACAACACTCGTTACATGTTTGTAAATTTGTAAATATTCGCTTAAAGAAGAACAATGTATTCGCTTGTAAATTTCCTAGACACTGGTTAATCTTTTTGCTCTTAAGCACGATCATCTTTCTGATTATTGTCAATTTCGTTATTCCTTATAATTCAGGTGAGTTTGAGTCTTGTGTGTGATGATTTATTAATTGTGTTGTAGTTTACAAGGACCTAAGCTATAGCAATAAGATTAGACCTGTCGTTAAAAGCAGCCAGCTTTCCGTTGAAGAAAAACCAAATCTAGTCAAAGAACCCATTGATAATGGTACCCCCCTGTATGATAAGTGCGAAGTCATTCATGTTGGGTTTGTGTGTTCGGGGTACAAATCGAATTTATATTTACACACCTTATTGAAGTCACTGAATTTTTATAAGGTCAATCCTATTCATTTTCATATTATGGTAAACAAAGTCTCTGAGAAGGTATTAAAAACGTTGTTTGACACCTGGAACATACCACAAAGTATTGTCATTCTCTATTGTTTTAATTTTAATTAATTCTGCGCATTTCAGCGAACACGACATTCTATGATATTAACGACTTCGTTCAGGACGTGCGATGGGTGCCTAATAGTCACTACTCGGGGATTTTTGGCTTGTTAAAACTAGTATTCCCAAAAATAATTCCCTTGAACGTTACCAAGAAAATCATCGTCCTTGACACTGATCTTACTTTTGTTGGTGATATTTTGGAACTGTGGAGATTATTTGAGAAATTTAAAAATAAGCAAGCTGTAGGGATTGTAGAGAACCAAAGCGACTACTATTTAGGGAAAAACTCCAAGAATAAACCTTGGCCTGCCAGTGGAAGGGGGTTAGTAGAACCATAGATTAATATAGATGCGACATACAGGCTGATTTTGCAAAACCACCCTTATTGACATTGGAGTCCTCAAAAACTTGTTTCACTACAACTCGTCGCCTGAGAACTTGTTTGATCTACAGACCAGAACGCGCTCAGGCCAATGTCGACTCTAAGCGTTCAGAAGCGATTTTGTTCGTTTGGACTATAACTTCTGCGGGAAATAGTTGTTTGGTGGGTTTTTATAACGACTAAGTGAATATTTTTGGTACATATTTAGATGATTTTACATATTTTGTTTTAACTAAGAATTAATTCTTTATTTGTGTTTTATACTAGCAAAACGTCTTAAACTAAAAATATTGTTGAAATGGTAGTAACCCAATGGATTTTTTTCGGGAAAATATTTTGAAAACATTGTTCTATTTTGTATGAATTTTTAAAATGTTTTTAGTGAAAATTTTTGTGGTTGTTTCGATACATTGTATGATATTAACAGTGAGAAAAAAACAGAAAAATTAAAATAATCGAAAATTCGAGAAATCTAATAATCGAAAAATCGAAACCTTAAAAAATCGTAAAACTGAAACATCAGAAAATCGAAAACATGTAAAATTCAAAAATCTAAAATTTAAAAACCGAGTAACGAAAAATCGAGAAATCGAAACTCCCAAATTTAAAAAATCGGATAACTGAAAAATCGCAACATCGAAAAATCAAAAGATCAAGAAATCGTGGAGTCGAAAAGTCGAACAATTGAGAAATTGACAATCAAAATATCGAAAAATCCAAATCTCGATAAATCAAGAAAGCAAAAAACTTAAAAATTCGAAAAATTGAAAAATTGAGAGATTGAAATATCAAAAGAACGAGAAATCGAAAAGTGATGAAGTTGAAAAATAGAAAAATAGAGAAATCAACAAACAAAAAGTTAAAAGTTGAAAAATTGGAAAAGCGAAATAGGCCAACATAAAAAATTGAAAAATTGATAAATCGAAAACCTGAACAATTAAATCTCGTTAATCGGGAATGAAAAATTAACAAATCGAAAAATTGAAAAACAACATCTAAAACCAGGAAGTCGAAAAATTGAAAGATTAAGAAATATTGAAAAATTAAAATTTCAAAAGATTAAAAAATCAAAAATTTAAAAATCCAAAAATTGAAAAATCGAAAAAGCAAAAAGATAGACACACAGAAGTCAAAAATAGAAGAGCCGAAGAATTGAAATATTGAAAAATCCTAAAACTGATAAATCGAAAAATCAAAAAAGTGAAGTCGAAAAATAGAAACCTTAAAAAATCGAAAAATTGAAAAATCAAAAACCTGAAAAATCAAAAAATTAAGAATTGAAGAACAGGAAAATCGGGACACTCGAAGGTCAAGAAATGGGAAAATCAAAACATCGATTAATTGAAAAATCGAAAAATTGAGAGTTTATGAAAGTCAAATTTGAAAAATTAGAAAATCGAAAATTTGACAAAATGACAATCGAAAAACAGAGAATCTAAAACCGGGATGTCGAAAAATCAGAAGATTAAGAAATCGAAACATTTGAAAAATTCGAAAACTTGGAAAAATTGAAATATCGAAGAACTGAAATGAAAAATCGACACATCGAAAAATCCAGGAGTTAAAAATAGAAGAATCGAAATATTGAAAAATCCCAAAACTGAAATATCGAAAAACTGAAAAATGAAAGAAAAACTAAAAATGGGAAACTAAATCGGGAAATCAAAACATTGAAAAATCGAAAAATTTAAAACGACAATTGAAAACAGAAAATCTAAAACCGGGAAGTCGAAAAATCGAAAAATTGAAAGATCGAAAAAGTAAAAAAATTCAGTAAATTTTAAAAATCTGGAGATCCAGAAATTCTGAATAATCCAAAAAATCCAAAAAATTTGGGGAGTCTGGAAAATCAGGAATATCCACAAATATCTGAAAAATTTGAAAAATCTGGAAAATTCAGAAAATCCAAAAATTCTGAAAAATCCAAAAAATCTAGAAAATACAGAAAATTTTAAAAATCCAAAAAATCAAGAAAGTCGAGAAGATCCAGAAAATCTGAAAAATTTTCAAAATCTGGAACATTCAGAAACTTTGAAAATTCTGGAAAACTTGGATTATTATTATTATTATTTATTAAATTTGTAAAATCCGGAAAATCTGAAAAATCTGGAAAGTCTAGAAAATCTTGAAAATCTGGAAAATCTAGAAAGTACAGAAAATTCAGAAAAGATGGACAATCTGCAAAATCCAGGAAATGCAAAAAATCAAATCTGAATAATGTGGAAAATCCAGGAAATCTGAAAACCCACAAAATGCGGAAAACCTAAAAAATATGGAAAATCCAGAAAATCTGGAAAATCTGACAAATCTAGAAAAAATCTTGAAAATCTGGAAAAACTTGAAAATCTGGAAAATCGAGAGAATCTGGAAGATCCACCAAATGCAGAAAATCCAGAAAATATGGAAAATCCACTAAATCTAGAAAATCTGGAAAATCTAGGAAATCTGGAAAATCTGGAAAATCCAGAAAATCTAGAAAAGAAAGACAATCTGCAAAAAATCAAATCTAATAATGTGGAAAATCAGGAAATCTGAAAACCCACAAAATGCGGAAAACCTAAAAAATATGGAAAATCCAGAGAATCTGGAAAATCTGACAAATCTAGGAAAAGCAGATGAAATCCGATAAATTTGGAAAATCTGAAAAATCTGCAAAATCTGGAAAATCGAGAAAATCGGGAAGATCCACAAAATGCAGAAAATCCGGAAAATATGGAAAATCCATCAAATCTAGAAAATCAGGAAAATCTACAAAATCTAGGGAATCTGGAAAATCTGAAACCATCTACATATTTCTAATATACATACAAAATTTTACAACAATCGGTCCATCAGTTTCGGAGATTGCGTGTCTAATAGAAATAGATTCAGAGATAGACAGATAGACCGAAACGGCAGACTACTTTTTTCGTACTGTAAGGGTCATGAAACGTCGAAAAAACATAAAAGTAACAACTAGTCCGATGGACTCACTTACGCTCGGGAAATAAAGTTGTCAAAAAATTCTCAAAAAGTTCAGCGTTGCGTTCATCATTTTCAAAATGTCCCGGTTTAAAATCAAAAATCGAAAAATTGAAAAATCAAAAACCTGAAAAATCAAAAAATTAAATAATTGAAGAACAGGAAAATCGAAACACTCGAAGATCAAGAAATGGGAAAATCGAAACATCGATTAATTGAAAAATGGAAAAACTGAGTTTATAAAAGTCAAATTTGGAAAATTAGAAAATCAAAAATTTGACAAAATGACAATTGAAAAACAGAAAATCTAAAACCGGGAAGTCGAACAATCAAAAGAGTAAGAAATTGAAACATCTGAAAAATTCTAAAACTTGAAAAACGGAAATGTCGAAGAACTCAAAGAAAAAATCGAGAAATCGAAAAATCTGAAATTTTAAATATTGAAAAATTAAAATATCAAAAAACTGAAAAATCTAAAATTTAAAAATCGAAAAATTGAAAAAACGACAATTGAAAAACAAAATCTAAAACCGGGAAGTCGAAAAATCCAAACATTTGAAAAATTGAAATATGGAAGAGCTGAAATGAAAAATCGAGAAATCGAAAAAGCTAAAATTTTATATATTAAAAAATTGAAATACCAAAAAATTGAGAAATCTAAAATTTAAAAATCGAAAAAGTAAAAAGTCAGAAATGGAAAAGTCGAAGAACAGAAATATTGAAAGATCCCAAAACTGAAATATCGAAAAATCCCAAAACTGAAATATCGAAAAACTGAAAAATGAAAGAAAAACTGAAAAATCCCAAAACTGAAATATCCAAAAACAGAGAACCTAAAGAATCGAAAAATTGAGAAATCGAAAAATTGAAAAATCAAAAACCTACAAAATCGTAAGATCGAAAAATTGAATAATAAGTAAACTGAAAAATCCCAAAACTGAAATGTCCAAAATCTGAAAAATTAAAAAATTGAAAAATTGAGAAATCGAAAAATAAAAAAGTGAAGCTGAAAAATCGAAACCTGAAAAATTAGAAAAATTGAAAAACCAAAAAACCTGAAAAGTCAGTCAATTGAAAAATTGACAACTAAAGAGTTTATAAAAGTCAAAAATTGAAATTAAAAAATTGAAAATTTGAAAAATCGAAAAATAAAAAAAGTGAAGTTGAAAAATCGAAACCTGAAAAAATCGAAAAATTGAAAAATCAAAAACCTGCTAAATCGTAAGATCAAAAAACTGAATAATAAATAAACTGAAAAATCCCAAAACTGAAATGTCCAAAATCTGAGAAATTAAAAAAATTGAAAAATTGAGAAATCGGAAAATAAAGAAGTGAAGTTGAAAAATCGAAACCTGAAAAATTAGAAAAATTGAAAAACCATAAAACCTGAAAAGTCACTCAATTGAAAAATCGACAACTAAAGAGTTTATAAAAGTCAAAAATTGAAAAATCGAGAAATCGAAAAATAAAAAAAGTGAAGTTGAAAAATCGAAACCTGAAAAAATTGAAAAATCAAAAACCTGCAAAATCGTAAGATCAAAAAATTGAATAATAAGTAAACTGAAAAATCTCAAAACCGAAATGTCCAAAAAAAGAAATTAAAAAATTGAAAAATTGAGAAATTATAAAATAAAAAAAGTGAAGTTGAAAAAAAGAAAACTGAAAAATAGAAAAATTGAAAAACCAAAAAATCTGAAAAATCAACCAATTGAAAAATCAACAAATAGAGAGTTTATAAAATTCAAAAATTGAAAAATTGAGAAACTGTAAAATCGAAAAACTGAGCAAGAAATTATGGTCGAAACCGGTTAGGATGTGTATCAGATCACGGATCATGGCTTATAAATCAAATCGTTTCCGAACGCTTAGAGTCGACATTGGCCTGAGTGCGCTCTGGTCTGTAGATCAAACAAGTTCTCAGACAACGAACTGTAATTCCTGTGACCTGAATTAAAGTGAAGGAAACAGTAAGCAGCTTGTAATATTCTGGTAAATCTAGTGTCAATTTGTCGAAAGTAAAACGCGTCGTTAAAAATATGACATTTTTTCTATTGTAGTTAATTTTATTCCTAGTTAGAAACAAATAATGTTGCTAACATAAGTCGAGGAGTCCTCAACCGTCATTTAATTTAAACTGTGACGCTTGTCTATGTTCTCTGGTAGAACTTTGATACAATTTGTCACTAAATTTTGGTTGGGCTACTGAAAACTAGGTGGCGCCAGTCAAAACAACCTCACCAGAGGCTTTACAACCGTGGTTCATACATAACCTCAATCTTCTTTTTGAACCTTGGTCCCAAAAGTTGAACTTTACTACCTCTAAACAATCGACAATTATTTTTACGGTTTGATTGTGACAGGTACAACTCCGGCGTCCTCCTCTACCACTTGGAAAAGCTCAAAAGACTCGACTGGCCTACCCTGTGGCCTAACGTTGCCAAAAAAGTAGCTCTGATCTACGGATCGACGCGACTAGGAGACCAAGATATCATAAACGCCGTGTTGCTGCAACACACCGAACTCCTCTATCAAGTGCCTTGTTATTGGAATACGCAACTAAGCGATCACGCTTTAAGTTACAACTGTTACAATAAGTTTAAGATTAAAGTCGTGCACTGGAACTCGCCAAAGAAAATCCACGTCGTTAATAAAGACGGGGACTATTTCAGAAGCCTTTTCACGACTTTCTTGGAATACAACGGCGATTTGTTGCGACGACAGTTGTATTTCTGTGGCAACTCGGACCGCACCGTAGAGGTATGACAGGTGCGGTTTTCGGAAAAATAGTAAAATAAATTACAGGAACCCGTGATCGACGTCTGCTCCGAGTTTCACCGAGCGAAAACTAGTCAATGGAGGACGTTGTTGTTTTTTAGAGAGTATCAACATTCCGTGGATGACAGCGAACGGTATGACGTCACTTTCGTTGCTCAGCTGTCGTACGATAGGTTGCAGATGGTGGAAGAACTGGTGAAGTATTGGCAAGGTTGGCAGCGGTTTGTGGCACGGCATAATCTACCACGGTTTCATTTCAGGACCGATTAGTCTCACGTTCTATGTCACGGATCCAGAATTTCAACAATGTTACTATTTTATTGACAATTCGGACCTCCTTCAAGATAGAAATAATATCGCTTATCATGCAGTATTCAAAGACGGGGTAGTTATTATATTAAGTGTGACGCCGACAACCCTACTGACGCCTTCTTTCAGGAATATTATCCAATCAACATTTTACGCAACGTCGGTCTGCGAAACGTGGACACCCCGTATGTATTCCTCGCCGACATCGATTTCCTACCAATGAAAGGGTTGTACTCAGTTATTAAAAGCCACCTAGCTTCTACCCAAAACATGAAAGCCAAAGTAACCAATTCCCGCGTTTGTGTTTAAATTAAAAGCCAAATTTCAGGCGTTCATAGTTCCTGCTTTTGAAACCCAGAGATACCGCAGCAGAATACCAAAAAATAAAGCCCAACTCTTGGGAATGTGGGAAAAAAAGTCCCTCTTCCCGTTCCGATCTGACGTATGGGCGGCCGGACATGCGCCGACGAATTATACCAAATGGAAAACCGCAGCCGCCCCATATAAAGTGATAACGTAGTATTGCAGTTGATAATTCGTTCGTCTATTTTCGTTGTAGGTCAAGTGGGAGCCCGACTTTGAACCGTATGTTGTAGTCAGTAGCGGCGTAATTGAATATGACAACAGATTTATGGGATTCGGGTGGAATAAAGTGTCGCATATTATGGAATTGGAAGCGCAAGGTTACGAGTGGGTTGTTTTGCCCAATGCATTTATTATTCATAAGCCGCATGCGCCAAGTTACGATATAAATAAATTTAGGTCGTCTCCAGTCTATAGAATGTACGTATTTTATTGGGTACGGAAACGACGTAATTGTTCTTTGTAGGTGTCTGCAGAATCTTAAGGAAGAGTTTATCCATGATCTGGATAAGAAGTATGGGAGATTATTTGATAATAAAAATACGTCTAGTTTCATTTTGAATATAAAGTGATATTGGAGTTGATTGTTTCATATTTCTGTGGTGGTAGTTTTCTGAATGTTCTTTTAGCACTTTCACTTTTTCTGTCCTACACTAGGGCGAGTCGACGAGACGAAAACTCGGAATGTTTAGTAGTAGCGAAACCTGTACATCTTGTTATATGATTATTTTTTATATCTATTCGCGAACAAACGTTTTGACTGACTCGTCATGTCTTGCGTTAGTAAATGAGAGTTAACAGCATTTTTCACAATTGTAGTGTTTTTGTTTTTTTTATCAACATTTTCGACTTGTATATTCTTATCTAGTCTTGAGCAGTTTTATTGAAAACTATGTATGTGTTTACATTTCACTTTTGGTACGCTTTATGTTTTTTTTACATTGAATCTTAAAAATACCTCTTCCATTATGTATAAAACTGCAATATTGTCTGTTAAAAATATACTATTCATCACATTGTGATGTTTTTTCTTTCCCGTTGTAGAAATTGTATAGTATTTGTATATAATCTGCATTTAATTACTTCCAACCAGTTTCACACCGAAACTTTCTCAATAACTGAAAAAATCAACAAAAAGAAACAATTTCGCTGTTTTTCGATGTAAAATTTTTCAAATTCTCAATTTTTAATTCTTTATTTTCTCGATTTTTCATTTTTTAATTGTTCAACAAAAGGACAAATTTATTCAAACCGAAATTTTGAAAAATTTAAAATCAGAAAATTGTAACAGTGAAACGTCTAAAAATTATAAAATTGAAAAATCAAAAAATTTAAAATTTGAGAAGTCGAAGAATTGAAAAAACAAAGAAAAATTGAAAAAACGAAAAAAATGAGATTCAAAAATTGAAAAGTGAAACTTGAAATATCGAAAAATTTAAAAATTGAAAAATCAAAAAATTTAAAAATTGAGAAATTGAACAATGGAATAATTAAAAAATCGAAAAATTGTAATATTGAAACCTGAAAACCCTGATTAATTAAAAATCGAGAATTTGAAAAATCGACAAAACGAAGCAATTCTGCATTTTTTTTATACATATATAATTTTTCAAATTCTGGATTTTTATTTGGTCCTTTTCTCGATTTGTCATTTTTTAATTGTTCAACAAAAGGACAAATTTATTCAAACCGAAATTTTGAATTGAATTGAAAAAAAAAATTGAGAAATCGAAGAATTGAAAAAATAAAGAAAACTTCAAAAAGTGAAAAATTGAAAAAACGAAAAACAAGAACCTCTATAAATTAAACAATCAAAAATACAAAAAAAAAATTAATTTCAAAATTCAAAAATTTTAAAATGAAAACCGGAAAACTAAAAAATTAAGAAATTGTAAAAACGAAACGTGGAAAAATTAAAAAATTGTAACAACGAAAAAACGAAACACTGAAAAACCGAAAAATTTAAGAGTTGATAAGTCGAAGAATCAAAAAAACCGAAAAAATGAGATTCAAAAAATGAAACTTGAAATATCGAAAAATTTCAAAATTGAAAAATCGAAAAAAGAAAAAATTGAGAAATTGAATTGGATAATTGAAAAATCGAAAACTTGTAATATGGAAACCTCAGAACCTCGATTAATTAAAAATCGAGAAATTGAAAAATCGACAAACGAAGCAATTCTGTAATTTTTCGATATAAAATTTTTCAAATTCTCGATTTCTAATTTTTCATTTTCTCGATTTTTCATTTTTTAATTGTTCAACAAAGGACACATTTATTCAAACTGAACTTTTGAAAAACCGAAAAATTGTAACACTGAAACATAAAAAACAAAATAATTAAAAATCGAGAAATTGAAAAAATCAACAAAAAGAAACAATTTTGCGGTTTTTCGATGTAAAATTTTTCGAATTCTCAATTTTTAATTCTTTATTTTCTCGATTTTTCATGTTTTAATTGTTCAACAAAAGGACAAATTTATTCAAACCGAAATTTTGAAAAATTTAAAATCAGAAAATTGTAACATTGAAATGTCTAAAAATTATACAATTGAAAAATCAAAAGATTTAAAAATTGAAAAGTCGAAGAATTGAAAAAACAAAGAAAAATTGAAAAAACCGAAAAAATGAGATTCAAACATTGAAAAGTGCAACTTGAAATATCGAAAAATTTTAAAATTGAAAAAATTGAGAAATTAAATTGGATAATTGAAAAATCGAAAAATTGTAATATTGAACCTCAAATCCCTGATTAATTGAAAATCGAGAATTTGAAAAATCGACAAAACGAAGCAATTCGGCAATTTTTTTTTATATATGTATGTATAATTTTTCAAATTCTGGATTTTTATTTGGTCCTTTTCTGGATTTGTCATTTTTTAATTGTTCAACAAAAGGACAAATTTATTCAAACCGAAATTTTGAATTGAATTGAAAAATCAAAAATTGAGAAATCGAAGAATTGAAAATATAAAGAAAACTTCAAAAAGCGAAAAAATGAGACTTAAAAACTGGAAAATGAAACTTGAAATATCGAAAAATTTAAAAATTGAAAAATCGAAAAATGAAAAAATTGAGAAATTGAACAATGGGGTAATTGAAAAAACAATTGAAAAATCGAAAAATTGTAGTAATATTGAAACCTGAAAACCCTGATTAATTAAAAATCGAGAAAGTGAAAAATTGAAAAAACGAAAAACAAGAACTTCTATAAATTAAACAATGAAAAATACAAAAACAAATAATTTCAAAATTCAAAAATTTTAAAATGAAAACCGGAAAACTAAAAAATTAAGAAATTGTAAAAACGAAACATGGAAAAATTAAAAAATTGTAACAACGAAAAAACGAAACACTGAAAAACCGAAAAATTTAAGAGTCGAGAAATCGAAGAATTGAAAAAATACAGAAACTGAAAAATCGGAAAATGGAAAAGCCAAAAATTAAATCATAAAAACCCTAATGATTATTTGAAAAAAGTGAAAAATTAAAAATCGGCAAATTTAAAAATGAAGCAATTACAAAATTGTATAGTATTTGTATATAATCTGCATTTAATTACTTCCAACCAGTTTCACCCCGAAACTTTCTCAATAATTGAAAAAATCTACAAAAAGAAACAATTTTGCGGTTTTTTGATGTAAAATTTTTCAAATTCTCAATTTTTAATTCTTTATTTTCTCAATTTTTAATTCTTTATTTTCTCGATTTTTCATTTTTTAATTGTTCAACAAAAGGACAAATTTATTCAAACCGAAATTTTGAAAATTATAAAATTGAAAAATCAAAAAATTTACAAATTAAGACGTCGAAGAATTGAAAAAACAAAGAAAAATTGAAAAAAACCGAAAAAATGAGATTCAAAAATTGAAAAGCGAAACTTGAAATATCGAAGAATTTTAAAATTGAAAAATCGAAAAATGAAAAAATTGAGAAATTGAATTGGATAACTGAAAAATCCAAAAATTGCAATATTGAAACCTCAAAACCCTGATTAATTAAAAATCGAGAATTTGAAAAATCGAAAAACGAAGCAATTCTGCAATTTTTTTATATATGTTTTCAAATTCTGGATTTTTATTTGGTCCTTTTCTAGATTTGTCAATTTTTAATTGTTCAACAAAAGGACAAATTTATTCAAACCGAAATTTTGAATTGAATTGAAAAATCAAAAATTGAGAAATCGAAGAATTGAAAAAATAAAGAAAACTTCAAAAAGCGAAAAAATGAGACTTAAAAACTGGAAAATGAAACTTGAAATATCGAAAAATTTAAAAATTGAAAAATCGAAAAATGAAAAAATTGAGAAATTGAACAATGGGGTAATTGAGAAAACAATTGAAAAATCGAAAAATTGTAATTTTGAAACCTGAAAACCCTGATTCATTAAAAATCGAGAAAGTGAAAAATTGAAAAAACGAAAAACAAAAACTTCTATAAATTAAACAACCAAAAATACAAAAAAAAATAATTTCAAAATTCAAAAATTTTAAAATGAAAACCGGAAAACTAAAAAATTAAGAAATTGTAAAAAGGAAACATGGGAAAATTAAAAAATTGTAACAACGAAAAAACGAACTACTGAAAAACCGAAAAATTTAAGAGTTGAGAAATCGAAGAATTGAAAAAATACAGAATCTGAAAAATCGAAAAATGGAAAAGCCAAAAATTGAATCATAAAAACCCTAATGATTATTTAAAAAAAGTGAAAAATTAAAAATCGGCAAATTTAAAAATGAAACAATTACAAAATTGTATAGTATTTGTATATAATCTGCATTTAATTACTTCCAACTAGTTTCACCCCGAAACTTTCTCAATAAGTGAAAAAATCAACAAAAAGAAACAATTTTGCGGTTTTTTGATATAAAATTTTTCAAATTCTCAATTTTTAATTCTTTATTTTCTCGATTTTTCATTTTTTAATTGTTCAACAAAAGGACAAATCTATTCAAGCCGAAATTTTGAAAAATTTTAAATCAGAAAATTGTAACATTGAAACGTCTAAAAATTATAAAATTGAAAATTAAAAAATTTAAAAATTGAGAAGTCGAAGAATTGAAAAAACAAAGAAAAAACGAGATTCAAAAATTGAAAAGTGAAACTTGAAATATCGAAAAATTTAAAAATCGAAAAATGAAAAAATTGAGAAATTGAACAATGGGGTAATGGAAAAAACAATTGAAAAATCGAAAAATTGTAATACTGAAACCTGAAAACCCTGATTCATTAAAAATCGAGAAAATAAAAAATTGAAAAAACGAAAAACAAGAACTTCTATAAATTAAACAATCAAAAATACAAAAAAAAAATTAATTTCAAAATTCAAAAATTTTAAAATGAAAACCGGAAAACTAAAAAATTAAGAAATTGTAAAAACGAAACGTGGAAAAATTAAAAAATTGTAACAACGAAAAAACGAAACACTGAAAAACCGAAAAATTTAAGAGTTGAGAAATCGAAGAATTGAAAAAATACAGAAACTGAAAAATCGGAAAATGGAAAAGCCAAAAATTGAATCATAAATACCCTAATGATTATTTGAAAAGTGAAAAATTAAAAATCGGCAAATTTAAAAATGAAACAATTACAAAATTGTATAGTATTTGTATATAATCTGCATTTAATTACTTCCAACCAGTTTCACCCCGAAACTTTCTCAATAATTGAAAAAATCAACAAAAAGAAACAATTTTGCGGTTTTTTGATGTAAAATTTTTCAAATTCCCAATTTTTAATTCTTTATTTTCTCGATGTTTCATTTTTTAATTGTTCAACAAAAGGACAAATTATTCAAGGCGAAATTTTGAAAAATTTAAAATCAGAAAATTGCAACATTGAAACGTCTGAAAATTATAAAATTGAAAAATCAAAAAATTTAAAAATTGAGAAGTCGAAGAATTGAAAAAACAAAGAAAAATTGAAAAAACCGAAAAAATGAGATTCAAAAATTGAAAAGTGAGACTTGAAATATCGAAAAATTTTAAAATTGAAAAATCGAAAAACG